TATGCGTTATTATTCTAAGTATGAAACTATCATTCTATGCGTTATTATTCTAAGTTACTAGTTTAAATCACATGCCAATTTTAATAAGTTTATAACCACTACAGCCTTATCATGTCCCTGTGAATACGTATCTGTAATTCAGTATATCTCGGGCCTTTTGGGGTAAGTGTGCTTAATATCTTTATATTCATCATCAAGGTAGGAAGTGTTTTATAATAATGTACCTGGTTTCTGTATATACCTTTTATTGTTACAGCCTTATGGTTTTGTTACCTTTTCTTTCTTTAACCGACTTGAAATAAATTTGTGGACCTGAAGTTTTCTGTTTTACTGCCGTGAACCTGGTCACGGCTTGTTAGGGTTACAAACCTCTCAAGCTCCTTGTGAAAGACTTCGCTGAACGAAGGAAGAGGGAAGTGTTGCTATCTTACCTATTTCAGGCCCCAAGCAGTAAGTGTCGAGACAACCTCAAACGGCTGAATTTTTAGGAAATTTTTTTAGGAAATAGAAAATTTAGGATATTTTAAACTACTTATTTCGAAATTTTCCAAAAAAAACCGCGGAATTAAATAGATACTTTACACATACCAATGATTTTTTAACCGACTTTAAAAAAGGAGGAGGTTCTCAGTTCGACTGTATGGTTTTTTTTGTACTTATGTATGTTACGATAACTCCGGTATTTGTGAACCGATTTTTATGATTCTTTTATTGTTGGAAAGAGAGTACCTCCGTAGTGGTCCCATTTAATTTTGAAGAAAATCATCCACCTCTAAAGGTGGCTATTCACGCATGAAAATTCATTTTTATAAATAGCGCCTAAATTTTATAATAAGGAGCAATTTATTTAATGGTTGATTTTGCTATTCTCCAATTCAAGGCGTTTTTCTCTCTCAATATACCTTGAGTAGTGAGAACCGTTTTTTATTATCTCCTGTATCAAGTCACGTGTAGTGGCGAACTAGGGGTTGAACCCGTGTTTGAGCACTTTCCGGTAACCGATTTCAATAAAACTTGGTAATTATATGTACTTCCACGTACTTTTGAGGTCCGTTTTTTAGTACTCTGTACTGAGGTTAGGTTATTTTATATCATCTGAACTAAATGGAATGCGTATAGCATACGTTATACATTTTTCAAATAGCTTTAATTTCGTTAACATAAAATAAATTCTGCAGCGTCACTTTGCGATTTAAAGCTAGGAGTTGCAATTGCTATGGACAGGCGTGTCGCTTAACACCAGGCGTACGACGGAGGGGCACTGCCACTGCGCCCGTCATCCTGAAACATAAGTTGACAATATCCATGTGCCTGTAATTTCACCAGCACCCTTCAATACCGGAACGCAGTGCTGCTCATGTTATTGCTTGAGATCAGAAGCAGGTACTTCCCTGGACGTACTCTTTCACCTTACGCTTATTAATACAGAAAAACTTAAAAACCTTTTTAAATCTGAGCGAAGTCACATCAGCCTATACGAATTTAATACCGGGTTTAGGAGCTGTTAATACGATATAATATGATATATTAAAGGTAAAATGACATATAAGTGACATTTTCCACAAAAAATCTCCAAAATATTTTTATTTATTTATTTATTTTTCAGGGATAACAAACAATTGTACATGAAATGTTTACAATCAGAGTTAAATATTTCTAACATAGGTACACGTACAATCAACAGCATTATCCACAAGTTACTATTAGAATTAAAATAAAAATTGCCGTGTGTGATGGGTAGTGCCAAATAAACTAAAATAAATAAAAGGTATATAAGAAATTAGCTCAGGGCATCAATAATAGCTTTTTAAATTTTGAAGCAGGCAAATGGAATATGTCAATATTGCTAAACAAATCATTGTAATGAGAAAGAATACGACGTAGAGAAACTCGCTTGCCAGCATTTGTTTTGCAGGTCGCCGTTTTAAACAACGAGTAGGAGCGCACTCGCCGTCGATAAACTCTCATTGGTACATTATATCTAATATATATGCACCAGTTGTGAGAAATTCACCATCTTTTTGCAGATAAAACTCTTATTAAGTTTATAGCTTTTTCGTTATTGAGTTTCACGTGCAGAAGGATAGTATTTTTCTTACCATAGCTATGTAAATTAAAAACTTTTTATGGAAAATGTCACTTGTGTGGTTTTACCTTTAAACAGACGATATATTGATAGATAGATATGTTTACCGCATACTCATAACCTTTCGTTTGGAGAGTTATGTGGCTGTGTCGACGTCTGCCGCGACAAGGGATCATGCCGATGCCTTGATTCTCACAGGGATAATGTCAGTTTATATTAAAGCTTCAGAATGCAGTCTGTAGGTTCAATAAAACTTAAATTAAATTTAAAAAAGCCAATATAACAGCGAAATCTAATATTATTTATAACTTTTTTTTATAAAAAAACCGACAAACGTTTGTGAAATTAGTATCTATTTGCCAAGTTTGATCGAAATTTTTTTTTTTGTAATAACCATGTGTCGTCCCGTCATCTGGTGTTATGCGATACGCCTATCCATAACAGTTGTAGTGCTACTTAGAGTTTTTAATCCTAAAGATCTTAGGGGCACTGGCACTGTGCCCGTCACGCAGAGACGTAAGTTGACAAGGTCCATGTGCCTATAATTTCACCAGCACCTTTAACCTTCCAAACCGGAGCGCAGAAATGTTCATATTACTGCTTGGTGGCAGTACTTCCCTGGACGAACCCTTTCACAAGGAGCTCAACTAAAAATCGATTAACGAAAAGTGGGTGAAACTCAATAAACCAGATTCACCCACTAATTTGCCACCCTTAGAGGTGAAATATTTTCTTCAAATTTGAATGCCACAACTACCTACTAAAGTACATATACCCTTTCCAACAAAAAAAAGAATAATCGAAATCGGTTCACAAATGTCGGAGAAAACGCGTAACATACACACAAAAAAGTACAGTCGAATTGAGAACCTCCTCCTTTTTTAAAGTCAGTTAATGAAAGTGAACTTATCTGCCCTCAGAACGAAAAAGGCACAACTGCTGTGTAAAGTACGCATGGTTGCCTTTTTTCATTATGAGGGCAGTTATGATAACGGACGTCTCCACTTTTTTTTTAAGCTTTTACTAAGCTTCCAAAGCTGTATAACACGTGCACTCAAGAGCACATCAATTTTGTACATTGGATCAACCTTATCGCAAGTGGCATAGAGTTGTATTTAAGTCTTAAGTGTCGAGTTCAAGTATTCTTGACATAACTGTCGCAGATATGTATGTATTTTTACGAATATCTTTAAGTTGACCAATACGTAGATAAGTTTTACTAGCAACTGTGACAAAACTCATAGAAGGAGATATTGGTGTGATTTTTTTTTGTTGGAAAGGGAGTGCTTTAATAGTGGTCCCATTCAAATTTGAAGAAAATCGCGCTTATTCCGCGCGGTGGTCGCCGCCGCGCGGCGACCGCGTGCGTCTAACTGTCATGGCAAAATACGCTCTATTTGTTTAGCTTTAATATTTTAACTTAAACGAGCGTCCCGGCCGCTCGGGCGTGTCTGGCTTGAATTTGGTCTACGCGGCGACCGCGCGGTTGTATTATTCAGAGGAATTTAAATGTTGTTGCCTAGTAAATGGAATTCAGATTTCCCATTAATGTACATGAAGGCGTCGTTTTTCTGCAAATTTTTCGCCTCGTGTAACTGAGCGCTAAGGGTGTACGATCCGGTTTATAGAATTTCGTCCACTTTCCATTAACCGATTTCAATAAAAGTTGGCACATAGATGTAATTACAATTAAAATAAAGTGTCATGGTGGCCTAGAGCTGATCTGATGAAAGAGATGGCTGAGTGGAGTAACTCCTCAACAGTGTACAGCAGATACCTTGTGTTTGGGCTCATATGATTCATTTTAGTGAGGATATCCATATGCATTTCAGTTATCGTTGAGGAGACCACGGTGACCTATTGTTTTGTAATCTGAGACGGTGACGAACAAACCGAAAACGGATAAACAAACTTTTGGAGTCGGCTTATTGTTCAAAAACAGTTACAATTATTTTAAATAAAGTTTCGAAAGTTAGTTAACTAATTATTTTGAACAAGAACTTTTGAATCGTTCAATGAACCGTATTACTAAAGGAAAAATTTGAATTCAAACTGATGTAGTATCGACTATTAATGCAATTACACAGTGAACGTTCTAGTCATACAACTTTTTTCAAAGTCCATTATTGCACCAAGAAATGTAGCTCTGTTCGGTGCGAAGTTCATACATTTAAAAACACACCAATAAATCGTATACGAGTGTACAGGTCTGTACTTAGCGTTGTCGGCAGCTATTCGGCGAGGAATGTGCCTGAGCCTGCTCTCCCTCCCGTCACTCCCCCTCCCTGGACTGCGCTACTTTTTGTTCCCATCATCCACCATTGACATGCACCATTGAATTCAACTTCTCTTGGAATTTTTTCCTCGAACTTTACCACTATAGGTTTCTGTAACTCGTAATCTAATTGCTCGAACTTCACAGGGCTGTTAAAATTAAATGATCATTAGGAAATACATTCAAAGAATTTTCGAAGTCTCTGGTCGAAGCTGAGCCTGTCTCTGATTACCATAACGCGTGCCGAATTATAATTTTTCTTATTTACATTAATATTATTTATGCTGGTCAATTTTGTACATTTGTTTGACTTTCTCTCGGAATAAGCAGCACCCTAAAATTTTGAACTTACATTATAACTTTTATCAAAATAGAAATTCCTTCCGAAATTTGGATGGGATAGCGAATGTTTATTTTAAAAGGGTCATCATTATGCAAGAATGACTACCTGGTTATCGTCGTATAAATATTAGAATACTGCTCAGTTTTCATAAGATAAATTAATAACTACCAGCCTTATCTCACGGGCATGACATCAGCCTCATCACAAATAAATTTTAAATCATACAATATCTTGACAGGCACCTAAAGCCCATTACCGGGCAACTTGTTTCATTGCTTTTGTTTTTTCCGAAGCCCCGTCCCGAAGGAAGAAGTCGGCGCCCGCGCCGTACATTGGCGCCTTTCTCCGGGTGAACGAGACAAAAGACGAATGCGGTCTCGAGTTGAAAAGAGATGGGACAATAGCATTCCGCGTCACAGACAGACAAGCCAAACGAATCCAGTTTGTTGGCCATAAGCCGGCCACTCGCTTGTGTCGGGTATTTCGGAGTGTTTTTCGATAGTGATGTAAATATAAAACTAATTTTTCTGACAAATAAAGCGTTTTGCTAACAGAGTGACAGCTGAAAAATGTGCTGTATGTGTTGTTGAACGATTTTGTGAGTGGAATTTTATGGGATTCGGGAGTACAACGGTAAGAATAGCTAAGAATGCAATAAACTCCCTCTCCCGTCCCTCTTGGAAGAATGCATGCACCTTGGTCAGGCGCACCTTGCGCCGGAGTCCCTATTGAAAATTATTGGAGAAATAAACTGATCCTTGGAGTAAACGTTAAGGATAGTGATACGGTCATTGACCGAAGTATGTTCAAGATCAATGTATGTATTCGAGGTCTTGAAGAGGTAGCGGAGTAAACAAAGACAAAAATTACGTTAAAATTGGGTGTCGCGTAATTTAACATTTTGTCTATAAGATTCACTATGTAAAACTATTAAAATGAGAATTTATATAAATATATTTCACACTTTTTTGTAAACTAAAAATACGCAGTTGAAAATAAACATAAGAAATTAGGACAATGCTTTGGTTGGACTTGCTGTCTGACAAAATAGAAAAAGGTAATGGGTAAAAAAATTACACTTACATTTTTTTCTTCTACTATTTATAATTATAACGCAGTCAACTAAGTTGCAGCAAGTCCCCGAGATCTTTGCGATTTATAGCTCTGAGTGGAACTGCAATTGCTCCGGACAGGCGTGTCACTTAACATCAGGCGCACAACTTGTTCGTCCTGTCACTTAAGTATCATAAAAAAAGTATTCAGTAGATACAAACAATCCAATATTAAATTATATTCCAATACATTTAAAAAAGTTTTACTCTATCGATTGTTCGTTTACAATGTTTACTACTTCATTTTTTCTAAAATGCTTGTTTATACCAAACTAAAGCTATTATTTTATAGATATCGGTCACGGTAAAATTGCTTTAGAGTTGACCTGACGACATTTTACAGAGGGAACTTCACTAGGAGGTCATTATAATATCTACTACGATAAGAGAATCGTTTAGTATAGTAAAAGTGTATTCGATAATTAACTAGTAATTTCACGAGTGTTATTTTCATTGAACACCTCTTATCTCATAAGAAATAAAAGAGTGACGTGGCACCCTTGTCTATTTACAAAAGTTACTTAGTTACTAGTAACTTAAATACCTATTACCGTGTTTATTTACGTATCGGTATTATATAACTGGTTCATTGAAATGATAACGGCATTGCTTGTTTATTTTTGGTGATAATTTTATTTAAAAATATAATTGATTTTCTTTTTAATTAAAAAATATAACGAATTAAAATATTAAAAATGTGGCCTAAATATGCATCTATTGCACATTTAGGCCATCTTTTATTATTAAGTTATGTAATTAAATCTACAATCCTTAATGAAACTAATCGTAACATTGTAACTAAGTAAGATAAGGAATCGTAATCTAGAGTTCACATACTTATGTATTTCATAATATGCTAATGAACCTTCTTTGCCCTCGTGGACATAATTTTTTGTAATTTTGTAATTTTCAATATTTTGGTCCTTACAGGATTTTTGGTAGTAAAAAATGGTAATTAAGACGAGTCTCCGGAAGGAGGAAAAACTGTTTGCTAGATCAAAATAGTTTAGGTATTTGCTATTAAATAATGGTCTTCCAAATATATACTTAACACCGATAAGGATATTCTAAAGAATGTTCTAATTTATTATACGATAGGATGTATTTTACACAGTCATATAAAATCCCGAAAACAGGATAAAATAAAAGTTTAAAAATAATTATTTATGAATAAAATATATAACTTTGTACATATCTATTTAAATACGACAGTGAACTCGCTAAGTTTTTGGTTTAAACTGAAGCTCTATAATTATTGAATTCCCCTTTTTTTCCAAATCATGAACATTGCCTAGCGGTTTAACGACACGTCGCGGCGCTCGCTGCCTCGTCAGTCGCCATCGGGCGCTTGTCGACGTCCAATCTGTGTCAAATTTTCTCCGCCTGTTTTATTCATATTAATTTTTCTACATTTTAAACGTATTAATTATAAATAATTAAAAATTAAATAAATATTAATTTTTTAAACATATTAATCTTATTTTATTCATATTAATTTTAATTGCCCACACACCTCACCTCTTTAAATCTAGGCTCGCGTTCAAATACCTCGCCTGAAGTTGATTTAGCTTAACAATAAAACTGAAACTAAACAAGATACAAAAATACCGATTAGAGGGGGTTGTAGATCACACTTTCCTGGTCCCTGATATGTTAACAACTCAATTTGTAATAAAAGAAAATGTCGATTGCATCAGTATTATAACGAGAACACCTATATTACAAACAGTTTCATAAGTGTAGTTTCATAATTATAGTATATAACCAGAAATAGAGACGAAGTAAGGGCCATCCAACCCTGGCAACTCATGGGCGTTATTTCACTTTTAAATATCAACTCTCATTTGCGCTGAAATCACAAATTAGAAAGCTGAAATAGTACAGCGCCAACGACTGACCTGTGTGTACGTCTCCGTATATTCCAAAAATATTATGTATTTATTGTAATAAAGATAATGTCTCTAACGATGGGGGCTGTTCATTCGGTGGTGTGGGAAAAACAGCAAAACATCTCAACGGAATCACTCATTTAATCGGCAATTAAATATTAAATATGAATTTTGCAATTTTCGCCCATTATAGCCAAGCTCAAGTTAAACTGGTCGATTTGAAGTAAAACAATTGACGAAACCCGTCAATTGTTTCGAATTCGGGCTGGCCAATCGGAGCGCAGTCTCTATTTCTGGTTATATACTCGATGTTATTAGTTTACTATATAAATAAATAAAATAAAAAGATTATTAATCCACAAACACGTAAACCATAATAGAAGCGAACAATTACATAATTATGCATGCATGCTAATTTTTAATTGTCCTATTGCTATGCGCTTGTTGCTACAGACCGCTAAGCAATATGACACATAATAACCCTGCTGTTTAAACAACTATAATTTTACTATTATAATAAAGGAGTCAATACGATCGAAAAAATAATGTTTCGACGGTTTTACTCGTATTTTACGTTAATATTAGTGCTTTAAAAGACTAGTTGGATAAACTTGATATGGAAACATAAAGGACATAACTTACAATTTAAGTTTATAAATTTAAATTAAGGAGACGATGTAAAAAGGATCGTATTTATCATTGACTTACAATTATAATATGGACGTCGGGACCGCGCTAAAAAGTGTCCGAACTTGTAGGGCGTTAAAATCGTATACAGAGCGTCATTCACGCTTTAGTCTTCGTTTGTTCGACTGACAACGAAGCAAGCAAAATTAGACAGTACTGCGATGACATTACAATTTAAATTCAACGTTTTAGCTTTTACATATTCCTTTACATGTCACTACGTTTAAATAGGTTGACTTGGGACATTTTTTTCGTGGTTTTTGTATTAGACCCGTCGTCCATTTATTTGTAAGTCAATGGTATTTATGGAGCAAACGTGCGGAAGGCTCCCTAAGCATACATATAAAGACTAATGACTAATGATTAGAGGACCGAAAGAGGTACTTATGCAAGGATAGTTAAGAATTTTAGTAGCAGTAGACCTCCTTGCGAAAGAGTTCGTCCAGGGAAGTTCAGCCACCCTTACCTATTTCTGCCGCGAAGCAGTAATGTGATCATTATTACATTCCGGTTTTGTGTGGTAAGGGTGCTGGTGAAATTACAGGCACATAAGACTTGTCATCGTATCCGTGCTTCAGGAATTGCAGCTGAAAGATCACAAAGGGTTATCCCGCGTCTGTTTGCTGCGCATTCTACAATTCTTTGGCCACACGCAGAAGCGCTGACAGTCTTCAAAGAATAATTATTATGCGCAAAATAGAGGGCAAACGACCTAAAGGACGAAGTTCGTAACGGTGGTGGGACCTGGTTGAAAGGTGAGGCAGTAGTGGTGAAAGTCCCACTCCACCTGGAGTAGCAGTAGAGCTCCTTGTGAAACAGTTCATCCAGGGAAGTACTGCCTCATCTGCCGCCAAGCGGTAATGTAGGCATTACTTTGTTCCGGTTTTGAAGGGTAAGGGTTTTCAATTTATGTCCCAGGGTGATAACTACAGAGGCACTACTTCTCAGATCTTTGCGATTTAAAGCTCTGGGTGATTCTGCAACTGTTATGGACAGGCGTGTCGTTTACCATCAGACGCACGACTTCTTCGTCCCATCACTTGGTATCAAAAAAAGTAAAGAATAAAGGTTGATCTGCCTACCCTTAAGGAAGACAGGCATGATTATGCGTTACACGAACATTAAGGGTCGTATTCCAGAACTCTACTCAATGCTCAAGTCAGGACTTGAGTATGATTTCAAGCACTGGAAATACGACCCTAATGGCAAGGACTTGAGTACGATTTCTAGTGCTTTAAATCATACTCAAGTCCTGGCTTGAGCATTGAGTAGAGTTCTGGAATATGGCCCTAAGATTCAAATTCAAATATTTATTAAGTCCACACGTACACACCAATTGAACAAATGTCCAATTCAAGAGTATTGCAAATTGTATTGTCTCCAACATTTGGACATAGTTATGCAAACTAGAACCAACCCACAAATTGTCACTTCCAAGATAATTAGATTTTTGTAAAAACAGTGTGAAGAAATAAATAGGTAAGTTATGTGAGACAAACAACGTGAGTTATGTGTAGCATTGAGAATGATATAGGGAAACTATTATATAATATAGCAATAAATAGAAAACATTATGTACTTTTTTATTTAGTTAACGAGATCCATGTTCTAGTTTTCGTAATGAAAACGCTAAAGATCTGCAGTACTTCAGTACATGTGACATGGATCCATTTAGCATATTTAAAAAAAATACATTATATGAAGTTAAGCAGCATGGTTCTTTTTAGCTGTTAAAAAGTTACTTATTTAGAGTTGGTACCCTGAAGGACTTTTATTTTCTCCGTTTTGGCTTGGTGTATTGCCAGGATCTTTTGTGAGCGGGTAAAGGACACGTCTGGTGTTCCACCTAAATACATAACTCAATTTCACTCGAGTTGTGGGTTGATTCTTGTTTGCATAACTATGTCCATTTCAAGAACACTGACGTAGGTAGTTACGTATATTT